CTCTGAGTCTTTCTTTCTCACACTTTTTCAAACTGTTTCACTCAGTATCTCTCACTGTATTTCTCTTTCTCTCTCTCTGTCAATCCAACATTGTTCTTAGTCTCTGTACATCCCTCTCTCTCTCTCTCTCTCTCTCGTACTCTCTCTCTCTCTCTCTCTCTCAGTCTTTCTTTCTCACACTCTCTCAGTCTGACTCTCTTTCTCAGTTTCTCCATTTATCTCTGTCTCGTTCCCTCTCTCCAACTCTTTTTCTTCGTCTCTTTCCATCAGTATCTCTCAATCCCTCTCTCTCTGTCTGTCTCTCTTTTCACTGTCTCTGTCTAACCCTATTTCTCTCTCTCTCTCTCCCCCTCTGTCTCCCTCTCAGCCTCCTTCTCTCTCAGTCTCAATCTTTCTCTCTGATGCAAAATCTCTCATTCTCTCTCTCTCAATCTCTGCCGCTCTCATTCTCTCTCTCCCTCTATCGGTCTCTTTCAGTAACTCCCTTTCACGCGATCTCTCTATCTGATGCTCTCTGTGTCTGTGTCAGATCTCTCTCTCTCTCTCTCTCTGTAACACACGCAAACGCACACATACATTTCCCTAGTCGTTTTCGCTCTTTCCCATGCTCTCTCTCACTCTATCGCTCTCCCATTTTTTCCCACTCACTCTCTTCCTCTACCCCTCTGTCTGTATATCACTAATTTTTGCTCAGTCTCTTCCTCTCAGTTTCTCAGTGACTCTTTGTCTCATTCTTTCTTTCTCTCACTCTCTCAGTCTCTGTCCCTCAACCTCTGTATCTCAATCTCTGAATCTCTCTCCCTCTGTATGTCGCTCTATCTCTCTCTGTCTCTCTCATTCTGTCTCTATCTTTGTCTCCATGCCTGTCTCCCTCTTACTGTCTCTCTTTCTCAATCTCTTTTTTCGTCTATTTTTCTCAGTCTGTTTCACTGTCTCTCCCCCCCCCCCCACCCTCCAAACTCTCTCACTCTCTCTCTCTCTCTCTCTCTCGGACTCTCTTTCTCAGTATATCACCAACCCTCTGACTCACGCTCAGTCTTTCTTTCAAACATTTCCAGTCTCTTTGTCTCAGAATCTCTCTCTCTCATACTCGCTCTCCGTCACTCTCTATCTCTCTATCTTTCTCATTTTCTTTCTCTTTAACTCAGCTCCTCTCTCAAAGTGAGATTGAGATAAAGAGACTGAGAGAAACACAGGGACATGGAGACACTGAGAGAGTTATTAGATTGACTGACTGACTGAGAGTGTGAGAGAGAGAGAGAGAGAGAGAGAGAGAGTGTCACAGGCTTCCTGTGTCCTGTCATCAGGGCTGCAGGTCCTCCCTGTCTTATGTCCAGACCAGAGAGATTCCTGGGTGCACCCTCTGCCCCTGTGTGTGACACAGTAAATGGATGACTGACCCCCACACACTAGTACAATACAAATCCACCCGTAGCTGCCTGTGCACTGTAAGTCCACAGCCTTTACAGTCCCAGGGCCCAGTTTATCCGCCGTCCCTTCCGCCGGTATCCAGTATAATAGTATTGTGTGTGTTTATGGCCACTGAAGGCCACTGAGGTTTCCGGTGTGATCACGTTCCACAGTCTGTTACTTACTCCAGTCTCTGTATATTACACTCCGGGTTCCTCAGAGCCTCACACAGTGGCTTCACTCCTGCATCTCCCAGATTATTGCCCCACAGCCTGGACAGAGAGACAGAAACACAGTGAATATAGTGTAACAACGCAGTACACATTGACATATATATATATACATGAGGCTTTCACGTGGGGAGCAATTCCCAATTGACTGTGACGAGAAACAGACGCAAACACACACACATAGAGTTGCTCAGTCATGGTTGATTTATAAACAGTTGACATTTCTATTACATTCACGTCGGGTAATATCTCAGAGCTGTACAGGAATAGGGTTGGAAGTTTCGAGTGGCCCCCAGTCTCGATTGTAAACCCTCAGTCTCTCACAGTCTCTTTCTGTGAGTTTATGTCTCAGTTTCTGTCTCAGTATCTCACTTTCGTCCCGTCTCTCTCTGTCTTTCTTTTTCACACCTTTTCAATCTGTTTCTTTCTCTCTCGCTCTCCCTTCCTCTTTCTCTCTCGCTGTCAGTCTTTCCTTCTCACACACTCTCAGTCTTTCTCTCTCTCAGTTTCTCAATTTCTCTCTGTCTCATCCACTCTCTCTATTTCTCTGTCTATACCTCTATCCATCAGTATCTCTCAATCTCTCTCTCTCTCTCTCTCTCTCTCTCTCTCTCTCTCTCTCTCTCTCTCTCTCTCTCTCTCTCTTCACTGTCTCTGTCTCACCCTCTTCATCTCAGTCTGTCTCTCTATCTCTTTCTGTCCAGCTCAGTCTCCTTCTCTCTCAGGCTCCATCTTTCTCCGTCAGGCGTTCTCTCTCATTCTCTCTTTCTCTCAATCTCTCTCGCTCTCGATCTCCCTCCCTCCCTCTCTCTCTCTCAATCTCTCCCGCACTCGATCTCCCTCCCTCCCTCTCTCTCTCTCTCTATCTCTCTCTCTCTATCAATCTCTCTCTCTATCAATCTCTCTCTGTCCCTCAGTCTCACACGGTTTCTCAATCTGACTCTTTCTGAGTCTCTCTGTCAGATCTCTCTCTCTCTCTCTCTCTCCCCTCTCTCTCTCTCTCTCTCTCTCTCACTCTATCTCTGTCTGTCTCTCTCACTCAGTGTCTCTATTTTTCTCTCTATCAGTCTCTCTCTCTTTCTCACAAACACCCAGTTTCCTTTTACTCAGTCTCTCACAGTCTCTTTCTTTGAGTTTATTCAGAACTCTGCAGCTCGTGTACTGTCCCACACCAGGCTTAGGGAACACATCACTCCCACCCTCGCTCGCCTCCACTGGCTCCCTATCCCCCAGAGGATCGATTTCAAGATCCTCATCCTCACCTACAAGGCCATTCACGGTCTTGCTCCCGCCTACCTCTCTGACCTACTATCCCCCTACCTACCCACCCGTACCCTCCGTTCCTCCGGCTCCGGTCTGCTCCACATCCCCCGCAGCAACCGCCCTACCATCGGTGGTCGGGCCTTCAGCCTCTCAGCCCCGAGGCTCTGGAACTCTATCCCCCAGTGCCTTCGCCGCTTCCTCCCTTTCCTCCTTCAAGACCGGTCTCAAGACCTTTCTCTTTGACCGTGCCTTGAGCTCCTCTCTCGACTCTCTACCCCCTCCTCGCTACCTCCCTTCCCTCCCCTCACCCTGACCATTTCCCCCTTGCTCGGGTCCTGACCCAACTGTACAGCGCCTTGGGACGTCCTCCTAACTTGAAAGGCGCTCAATAAATGGAATATTGTTGTTGTTGTTGTTTTTGTTTATGTCTCAGTTTCTGCGTCAATATCTCACTTCCTCCCCGTCTCTCTCTCTATCTTTCTTTTTCACACGTTTTCAATCTTTTTCTGTCTCTCTCTTCCTCTCTTTCTCTCTCGCTCTTTCTCTCAGTCTTTCATTCTGACAGTCCCTCAGTCTGACTCTCTCTCAGTTTCTCAATTTCTCTCTGTCTCATTCCCTCTCTCCATTTCTCTGTCTATATCTCTATCCACCAGTATCTCTCAATCTCTCTCTCTCTCTTTTCACTGTCTCTGTCTCACCCTCTTCATCTCAGTCTCTGTCTCAATCTCTCTGTCTCCCTCTCAGTCTCCTTATCTCGCAGTTTCCATCTTTCTCTCTCTGTCAGATCTCTCTCTCTCTGTGTAACACACACAAATAAACACATACACTTTCTCAATCGCTCTCTCTTTCCCATGCTCTCCCTGTATCCTTCTCTCTCTCCCATTTCTCCCACTCACTCTCTTGCTCTCCCCCTCTCTCTGTCTATCTCTTACTTTTGCTCAGTCTCTTTCTCTCAGTATCTCATTGACGCTTTCTCTCACTCTTTCTTTCTCACACTCTCTTAGTCTCTGTCCCTCAACCTCTGTCTCTCAATATCTTCTTCTCTCTCTCTCCATCTGTGTCTCTCTCTGTCTCTCTCTCTGGCTCTCTCTCTTTCCCTCTCTTTGTCTCGCTCTCTGTTTCCCTCTCACTGTCTCTTTTTCTCAATCTCTTCTTCAGTCTATCTTTCTCAGTCTTCTTCTCTCTCTCTCCGTCCCTCTCTCTCTCTCTCTCTCTCTCTCTCTCTCTCTCTCTCTCTCTCTCTCTCTCTCTTTCTCGTTCACTCAGTTTCTCTCTTAGACTCTCTCTCGCGCGCGCTCTCTCTCGCCATCAGCATCATTCTCTCAGTATCTCTCTCTTTCATAAACGCACACTCGCGTAGTCTCCGTTTCTCACTCACTCTCTTACTGTCAGTCACTCACTCTTTCTCTCTCGTTTCATCTATCTTTCTTTCGCTTTCCCATTATGTCTCTCCACCACCACCCCCCCCCCCCCCCACCCATCAACCCGACCGCCTCCAAAACACACACTCACACACATACACACAACCTTTGTCTCAGTTTCTCTCTATAAGTCTCGCTTTCTCAGTATCTCAATAACTCTCTGGCTCTCGCTCAGTCTTTCTCACACTCACAATCTCTTTCTCCGAGTATGTCTCTCTTTCTTTCTTGCATTCTCATTTTCTCACTCTCTCTCATACACCCTATGTCGCTGTCTTTCCATCTGCCTTTCTCGCTTTCTCTGTCTCCCTCGGAATCAGCGTTTCTCTCACTCAATCTATTCCTCTCAGTTCGCCTGTCTCACATTCTTTCTGTCTCTCACTCTCTTTGTCTGTCTCTCTTTCACTCACTTTATCTCAGGGGCTCTCTCTCTCTCTCTCTCTCTCTTTCTCTCTCTCTTTCTCTCTCTCTCTCTCTCGCTCTCTGCAACTCCCTATCAATCTCTCTCTCTGTGTGTGTGTCTCTCCACCAGTTTCTCTCAGTCTCTCTCCCTGTCTCGCTCTTTCTCTCTAGCTCTAGCTCGCCTTCTCAGTATTCCTGGCTCTCTCTCTCTCTCTCTCTTTCTCTCTGTCTCTGACTCTCTCCTAAACACTCTCCCTGGGTATCTCGGTAACTCTCTCTCTCAGACTTTCTTTCTCACACTCTCTCCGTCACTGTCTCTCTTGTTCTAACTTTCTTTCTCTTTAAGTCAGCCCCACACTCAGAGTGAGAGTGAGATAAAGATACCAAGAGATTCACAGGGACATAGATAGAGTTATTGGGTTGATTGTGTGAGTGAGTGAGTGAGTGAGTGCGTGAGAGAGAGAGAGAGAGAAAGAGAGAGAAAGAGCGAGACAAAGAGAGAGAGAGATAGAGAGAGAGAGAGAGAGAGAGAGAGAGAGAGAGAGAGAGAGATTGAGAGAAACCAACTGAAAACCTGTGGGAGTCAAAGGCTGCCTGTGTCCTGCCCTCAGCGTAGCAGGCCCTCCCTGTCTAAAGTCCAGAGCTCACTCTCTCTCTTATTCTATCACTCTGTCTCACACTCCCTCAACAATACTATCTCACAGCGTCTCTCTCACTCTATCAGTCTCTCGGTCGCTCTCTCAAATTCAGTGTATCTCTTTCTGTCTCGCCATCTCTTTCTCAGTCTCTCTATAAGTTGGCCTCACACACGCACTTTCCCAGACGCTAACACTCTCTTTCTCTCCTTTTCTCTATTTTGTTCACTGTTTCTTAGTCTCTTTTTCTCAGTACCTCTGGAAGACTTTGTCTCACTTTCCTTGCTCACATTCCTTCAGTCTATGTCTCTCAATCTCTGTCATTAAATCTCCCCCTCCCTGTCTCTTTGTCTGTCGCTATTCCTCTCCCCCTCACTGTCACTGTGTCGCTCTCTCTATCTCTCTCTGGGTCTCTCTCTCTGTTTCTGTCTTTCTCAATCTCTTTCTCAGTCTTTCTCTATCTGTCAAACTTTGCTTCTCACAGTCTTTCTGTTTGTCTATCTTTCGCTCTCCCACTCTCTTTCTTTCTCTCTGCCTCTCAGCCTCTGTGTCACTGTCGCCTTCTCCCCACCCTCCCAATCTCTCAGTCTCCTACTCTCTCAGTATCTCTGTCACTGCCTGGCTCGGTCTCTCACTATCTCTCGCAGCCTCACGTTTACTCTATCAGTCTATCTCAGTTTATCTCTCTCTCAGCTTCTCACTTAACCTCTCTCATTGTCTTTTTCACTATCCTTTACTCAGCGTCTCTCTCAGCCTTTTTCTCTCAGTATCTCTCTCGTGCAATATCTTTCTTTCTATCAGTTTTTATTTCCCTGTCTTTCACTCTCTTCACATCTCTCTCTCTCTCTCTCTCTCTCTCTCTCTCGCTCGCTCTCTTTCTCGGACTCTCGTTCTCAGTATATCACTAACAACCTGGCTCTCGCTCAGTTTTCCTTTCATAAATTCTCAATCTCTTTCTCGCAGCACTTCTCTCTTAATCCGTCTCTCTCTTTCTCTCTCATTCTCTATTTCGCAATCTCTCTCTTACTCTCTTTCTCTCAGTCTTTCTATCTCACACTCTCTCAATCTCTTTCAGTTTCTCTGTCTCTGTCACTCTCATTCACGATCTGTCTCGGTCTTTGTCTCTATGTGTCTCTCTCTCCCCATTTGTCTTTCTCGGTCTCAGTCTCACTCTCTCTCAGCCTCTATCTCACTCTATCAGTCCCTTTAAGACCAACTTTCTCCCAGTCTCTCTGAATATCACTCTCTTTCTCTTTTGCCCCACACACCCTTAAACACAGGCGCGATCTCTATCTTCCACTCAGACTCTGTCTCAATCGTTCGGTCACACTCTCTCTTTCTCTATCTCTTTCATTCTCTCTCATTCTCTCCCTCTCTCAATCTCTCTGTCTTTTATCCTCTATGTCAACGTATCAGTCTCTTTCAGTCCCTCTTTCACACTCAGTCTCTCTCTCTCCCTCCCCCTCACTCTCTCTCGCTCTCTCCCGCTCTCTTTCTTATTCTCTCTCTCTCAGTCTCTGTCTGACTCGCTCTGTATCTCTCCAGACGGGAAAAGACGCTTTATTAAATGAAATGATTATTAATATTATTATCAGTGTAATCACACAGCGCTCACTCCCCTCACTCACTGGCTGACATATTCCATGTTTCTGGCTAACCATCAATGAGGACAAACCTGAGGTGTCCGCACTTGTGCAGTGCGGATCCCAGACGCTGGATCCCTTCAGCTCCGATATTGCAGCTTTCGAGATCGAGGAATTCTATGTTGTGACAAAGCTGTAAAACACGAGACAGCACAGCACAGTCCAAAGGGTTCAATCTGATCCTACTAAAGTCCAGTGTCTCCACAGCTCCGAGTGTGATCTGGGCCAGAGTGTTGTTCTGAGACTCAAACAGATAGTATATCATGTTCAGAAGCTTCCTTTTACCATCTTCACTCCCTGATTGTTTGACCGCCGACTCCACATTCACCTTCAGCCAGGAGATGGCTTCGGAGACTGACGCGTGAGATAATGGCCCCAGGATCTCCTCCAGCTGCCGGGCTGTGTGAGGCCAGGAAAGTCCCACAGCAAACCGCAGGAAGATCCCAAAGCGACCATCGTTCTTCTTATGAACCTGGTCAAGCAGATCCAGCAGGTTCTTGCGGACGGGCGTCAGGTACTGAGCGAGAGCAGCCACAAACTCCTGGATGGTGAGGTGATGGAATGTGTACACAACTCCTCTCTCATCATAATCCTTCTCCAGAATCTCCATCATAAAACCTGAGGTGAAGGTTGAGGGTTCAAGCTGATGGCGATGGAAATGGTCATCATCGAACACAATGATTCTGTTACAGACCCCCTCAGAGGCCATCTCTCCGGTTCTCAACATCACCTCCCGACAGCGCTCAGTGGCTCGGGGATGGTTCTTCAGGATGTTGTAGAGATAAGTTGAGTACAGCTGGGTGAGGGTTTTGGGGGGAGGCTGTTTGGTCTCTGGATGCTTGAAGATTGGCTCCATTGTGCAGCAGAGGATCCAGCAGTAGGACGGTTTGAAGCACATGGTGTACAGGATGTCATTCTCCTTCACATATCTGAGCACTTGACCTGCAATCTTCTCATCTGCAAAGAAGCGTCTGATGTAATCTTCCCGTCCCTCAGCGAGGAATCCCAGCATTTCAGCCCAGAGGTTGGTGTGGATGTGATCTAAAGATTCCAGAGCATTTGGCCGGTTTGTGATCAGCACTGAACAGCCTTTCAGAATTTCTTGCAGAACCAGAGAGCGCACAATGTGAGCCACGGTACAGAGGCCTTCAGGCCCCGGGCAGCTGATCTGAGGGGCTCTATCAATCTCTGTGAACTGAATCCTCTCCTTAAACTCGTCCAAACCATCAAACACAAAGAGCAAATATTCCGACTTCTCCCAGATATTGTCCAGAACATCCTGAAGATAAGGATATGATTCCAGGACCATAGTTTTCAGGGTTGTTTCCTCTTTTATTATGTTCAGATACCGGAATTTGAAATGAAAGACAAAGTGGAACTGGAGATAGATCTTTCCTGTGGCCCAGCGATGCAGAATATTCTGCACCATGGTGGTTTTCCCAATCCCTGCGATTCCGCTCAGGATGGTTGTCCCAAATCTTCTTCTCCCAAAACTGCTTCCAAACAGCTGAGCCTGTCTGATTTTCTCCAACTCCTTCCTGACGTTCCTCTCTTGCCACTGCTCATGGTCTCTGCCTCTCGCCACCAGTTCATGCTCCGCCAGCCTCCGATCACGGGGAGATGAGGTGACTATTAATTCCGTGTAGCGATCAGAGAGCAGAAATGTTCTGCTCTTCTCTCGGCCTCGCAGGGTGTTCAGTGACAGCTTCTCATTCTGGGAGCACAGCACCTCTTTGTGATGATTTTTAACATCTCGAATGTAAAGGTTAAGAAAAAGAATATTTAGCGATTTTTTCTCGAATTATGACATCGAAAGTTAGTGCAGAAATCAGTGCTCAATATCAGGAATATAACCAGAAACATTTGGAGAATTGTACAATCATAATTCAGTTGCAATGCAGAATTGTCAACTAACACATCTGTGACTGATTTGTGACAACTGACTGAAAATTGTGGCAAATATCACAATTTCCTCCATCCTTAAGAGACAACAGATCCCACCCTATATTATCTTACTCAGTTGACACTTTAGTATCAATTTATACACATCTGCCCGTTGGACGACAACAAATCATTAGAAATGCTGATATCAGTCGGGTCATACCTATCAGTCTGTCTGACAATGGCTCCAACTTTCCACTGCACTGCGACATACCAAGCAGACTGGTACCTGGAATAGAGTTTAGCTCCGTCAGTCTTTGTTTCGCACAACACAAAAATTAACAATGTGGATTTAGGCATGGGATAGATATTGCAATTGAACATACAATATAATGTGTGTTTGATATATAATATAGATATCAGTGTGCGGTTCAAAAACAGTATAGATATAAATGTGTGCTTGATGCACTATATAGATATCTATGTGTATTTGATATATAATGTAGATGTCAGTGCGTGTTTGATATACAATATAGATGTAAGTGAGTGTTTGATTTACAATATATATGTCAGATATAGATGTATGTGTTTGATGTATAATATGGATGAGAATGTCTATTTAATGTATAATATCGATGTCAGTTGGTGTTTGATGTGGAATATAGATATCAGTGCGTGTTTGGTGTAATATATGGATATCAGTGTGTGTTTGTTGTTCTATATGAATGTCAGTGTTTGTATTGTGTACTATGTTGATGTCAGTGGGCGTTTGGTGTATTATATTTATTTCAGTATGTTCCTGTTTCCAGGCTAGCGTGGACACAAACCCTTTTCCTGGATCTCTTTCAGTATCTTTTGAACCTTGGGTTTGTTTTCCTGCATTTTCACCAAGGTTTCCCACAGTGTTCTCTGTGCCCGGCCAATCACGCTGGTCACGACGCCCAGGAGGTATTTAGAAGCTTCCTTTCTGCGTTTTCTCTTTGCCAGATGACCGACGCGCTGTGAAAAAGAGGGATACAGCTGTTAAACCCATTCGGTGCTGCTGTCACAGTTGCAGGTTGTAGCCATTGTCCACATCAGGAGCAATATATCAGAGTGTAATAATGCACTCTCTCCGGTGGATTAACAGTGAAGACAGTGTTGCCGTGGTGCCAGGCTCAGGACAGGACTCACCTGTTTAATACGGGGTTCGCAAGTTGGGAAATTACAATATTTCCCAAGCTCCTGATTGCTTGGTTCTCGAGTGCGCCCGAATATTGGCTGTGGATTGACCATCCCCCACCCAGTCCACAACTCCCGGAATAAGCGTCCCTGTTTTACTAACCATCTAATGTTGATTTTGGGCGCCAGTCCTTCAATGGGCCATTTTTTTTTGCCTTTCAATTACTTATGTATTTCCATTTTTCAAAGTGAACATTTATTCTACTTCCATCTTCCTTTCAAACAGTGCATTCATAACCGTCATGGAAACACTCGTGTTCAAAAATACACTGCTCGTCTCATCTCTGCTTTTTTGCCGATTATTTCATAACTTTGTCCTCTGGTTATCAACCCACCTACCAGTGCAAATATTTCTCCCTATCTACTCGATCATAACCCCTCATTAGTTTTGAAAATCTCTATTAAATCACCCTTAGCCTTCTCTGCGCCAAGGAGAACAATCTTAGCTTCCCTATTCTCTCCAAGTAATTGTAGTCCCTCATCCCTTGTATAATTCTGATAAATCTTCCCTGCACACTTTCCAAGGCTTCCTAAATTATCTTGCCCAGAATTGATATAGTGCCTGTCAAATAGATTGTCGTGGCTGGCACTTGATAACCGTGATAGTATATCGAGCTGAAGTTGAGAGAAAAGGGTGTTGGCAGGGAAACCTGGCCAAATTCACGTGAAAGTTGAAGGGCTTGAGACGGAGCGTCAAAAACTTGAGATAGAAGCATTGAAATTCTGACGGCCTGCTGATTGTGGGGCAAATAGATTCAGGAATATGAAGTAAGGAATTGAACATTGGTTATCTACATTTACTTGACATAAACACCATTTGTAGCGTCGAATATCGGTGACATTCTTTGTTTTGATGCTTGAATTTCTTATTATAACAAGCTATTTGACCCCCCAAAAATCTGTTATGCGTCTTTGTCCCTGTTAGAATTTACAGGTTTTGTATAATGTTAGAATCATAATAGATGTTGCGAACTGATTATCTTTTAAGTTAAGTGTGGGGGCAACTGGACTGACACTCATGATTAACATTCAAGAGCAACAAAAGGCAACTCTCATGAACAGTAGCTAACGTGCAAGTTGCTTAAACTAGAGGACTAGAGGACTAGCTTAAACTAGAGGTCGCGGAGACAAGGGTACGGGAGATGGAAGACTGAGAGCTAGAAACACTAAGACTGAGGATATCATATAGAAGATTGAAAACTGTAAGCAAGAAGACTGAACGCAGGAAGAAACAAGCTTGTGTGCTGTAAAGACACAGTGTTTAACCGGAGATATCTACGGTGATATTGTTCTGTTATAAGATCTGTTGATTTTACCGACCTTTGGTCTTTCCCATCGGAATATTGGGCAATAATGAACGGATAATAATAAAACAGTCTGAGACCTGGTTGCAAAAGGATTATGGCTGATTTTGTTTTCTAACATTCCGCTGCCCTTTGTCGGCCGCTGTTTACATCGCGTTTTCTTCAAAACAGATTGACGATTTTGGTATTAACTCATTCGCAATAATATATAGATATTATCACTATCCTTTGAGAATATATTTCCGTCAATCATCATAATGGTATACTACCGGCAATAGTAATAATAATCCTTGCATTTGATATGGCGCTTTTCACGTCTACTAGACGTCCCAAAGCGCTTCAAATAAATAAAGCGATAAATAATCTGTGCATGTTGTTATCATTTTCAAGTCGGATCCGATCAATATTAGAAAGCGAAATACACATAAATATCCAAAGAAATTCGATTAAACGCCCGGTGTTGTCCGAAATGCAAGAATTATTATTACCAAATCAATAATTTTCCAAATTTTAAACAATCAAATTTGGTTCAGTTTGCTGCTGTTCGATGTCATCTTGTGGGAGGCTGCACTGTATCTAGATTCATAACAATTTCCTTCTCTATTTGTAAACAGTGTAATACGATAAGCGTGGACTAAGCCAGAAGGTTCCAATGTGATCCAGCATACCTTATATTCTCTGGTACTTAGTAGTCTGTCTTTCAGGAGGACCAACGCCACAGCTTCCACAAACTCTTCCATCGCCTCTTCTATCCTCTGACGGTAGAACAGAGTCACAGTGTTGAGCTGAGAGTCGGTGTATCTCTCCAGAGTTTCCCTGATCGGTTCGGCCTTTTTATCTGACGAAAAAAGAGTATCAATAGAATCATTTCTAAAGCGTTCGCATTCCAGCCATAGCTTCTCCATCCCATAGTATTAGCCTTTTTTATCTTACACAACTGAATCAGATTGTTTGTTGCTCAGTCACTTTAATTTTAAATCGTTGTTACTTATCTTCTCTCCTTTTATTTGAATTCGAACTTATCTTAATTTTGAAATCATGTTAGATTAATCAACCTGTTTTATCTCCTCCATTTCACGTCGCGGAGGTGTCTCGAAGTGGTTTCACATACGGTAACTGAAGTCATTGTGTAGTAAGTGTACAATTTGCGGGAGCGCAGCAATGGCCACAAGCAGTCGTGGATGACAATATTATTTTGGGGGTGTGGAGAGAATATTACCCCGGAAGCAATCAGTGAATTGACTAACAACCAGATTCCTTCCTACCGCTAGAGCAGCAACAACAGCAACTCACAGCTTATGTGTCGCATTTCACACGAGCTAGCGTCTCGGAGTGTTTAAAATGCGGAATTACCCGTGCCTCAGCTTCCATCCCTTGCTGACTCTACTGTGAGCAGAGGACACTGGTTGTCAAACACTGATTTGACTTTGGTGGAAGTGTGTCGTGAGACCTGCAGCTTCATGCGCTCCCGTTTCCTTGTGAACCCGTTACCTGCTAAGGTTAGATATTCCATCGATAGTGTATCTATATCTATTGTTGTCCTCGTACTCTCTGGGTTCATCTCTCTAGGTGTATCTGCTCCTTCTGCCATGATGGGATCAGGGTGTGGTAGCTCCATGCATCAAAGATAATTAATGGGCGCAGTCAAACCGTCTGAAATGCAAATGTCGAAGAATCGTTGCATAGGGAAAGCTGAAATAACTAGATTACACATCTCTTGGAATAACCAGATTGAGTTCAATGACATTAATCGAAACATCTATTGAGCGATCGAGGGAACAATAGACGGAGAATTACAAGTTGACAGAGAGAGTCCTGGTCTCAAATGGAGGCAATGTCTTTGGTGATTTGCTCAAATTATTGTGTATCTGTGGGTTAGTCAGAAAGCTCATTGAGGGGTATCAGGCAGGGAATGATTCGATTGAAGGCAGTTTAGCTCACTTTAAAGGCAGAAAACGGAATAGCTTTGTTGATGATGGTGTTTATCATTAACGTTGTTTAAAAGGAGCTGGTGTTTGATCCAGATGAACTGACGTTTTGATCAAGATGCGAAGTGAGAAAAGATTTGACGCAAGCGTGAAGGATGCACAGCAGATGAATGAGCTGGGCAGAGAATTGATGCAAAAAGCATGGTAAAGCTCTGTGTGACTGCACTGTGGAGGTGCTATGAGACTGACTATCGATGGTAGTCATTGGACATTTCCTCAATGATGGAGTGAATGAGTACAGTACGGGGTCCGTCTGAAGAGACATCAATGGTTGTTGGGATGAGAAATGAAGATTTATGAACAGGATTCGCTAAAGAATTTTCCATCAGGTGACAGGTCTATTTGTGTCCCGATCCTCAGTTTCTGGAGAGGATAAAGAATTTGCCATGTATAATAGATTGGGAACGCTGAGAGGATACATTGCATCCTGAAGAATGCTAAATATGTGTCGCAAGACCCCTTTTATTGTTGGGGTAAGGGTTAAGTGATTATTGTACCCGGAAAAGTGAATCGCCAATTGACTAACAACTGGAATCCGACATACTCCGAGTTAAACAACAACAACAACACATCATAACAACACCAGCAACAACTTGCACTTATATAGCGGCCTCCATGCAGAATAACGTCTCGGAGCGCTCAAGAGTGGTGGAGCCCGACTCCAAGACGTGGGATGGTGTACGTGGCTGTAAGTACGTTCAAAGAGCAAAGGTTTTAGGCGAAACGTGAAAGAGCGGAGACTGGGAGCAAGATGGAGGAATTGAGAGAGTGTTTTCCAGAATTTGAAGAAGTATTGATTGAAGCCTCCGAAAATGGATCGCAGGGTGCGAAGGTTGAACATGAGGCCGATACCGTTCAAGTGGAGACACCGGGTGGAGGATTGGGGAGTGTAGATGTCGGGAGGAAGTGAGGTGATGAGATTTAAATACGGGTGTGAGGATCTTGAAGTCGACAAATATGTTACACTTGTATAGCGCCCTTGATGAAAGAAACAGACATGTGGAGTAAGGAAACTTGCCTAATGTTTGGCCCCGGCCGCGAATCGAACCCAGGTCCTCTCCATTCCTCGATAAGTGTTCTATCCTCTAGCTACCGGACTTCACGATCCCATGGCAGTGAAGGGACTTCCTGTTTCGCAGTATCCTGGCCAACAATTTACCAGATAATATAATCACACACTTCATGATAGTTTGTGGGATGTTGCAGTTTGCATATTGTCTGCCACTTATGACTTCATAATGCACAGTCAATACACTTTGGAGAATATCCTGTAAAGCACTCTGATGAGATGCCCACTGTTGTGGTATAGGGTCTTATCACATGATCCCAACATTCCAGCACCACACATGATTTATTCAAATTATTGTGAATTGATCAGCACGTGCACCCCAGTGTCTCCTATACAACCACTGTGTGAGTGCTTAAACGTATTTTAGGGATTCGTTTGGGCAATACACTGGGGAAATTCACTGCAATTTTCAAATTGTGCCGTGGAGCCTTTAGCAATCACCTGCAATAGGGAAAAGGAATTTAGTTTAACTTCTCATCTCAAGCACAAAATCTCCAACAACGCACTTATTGTCACATTAACTAATTTCATTGTTTATTTTTCCACAGCAGTCACTGATGCCAGAGGACGTCCCAGTTCACCCCATGGTGTCCTCATCAACATTGGCACTCAAATAGTTCACCAGCTCAGCACATGGTGCCCTCACCAGCACAGACGCTTCGCCAGCTCAACACCATGTCACCAACAGTGACACACACACACAATTCACACTCTCAGCTGCATGGGCCACACTGACATACACACACACTTCATCCACTCAGCTGCAAGGACCAACACTGACACCCACCCACACACACACTTCACCAACTCAGCACCAAGAATAACACAGATATACACTGCAACAGCTCAGCACCATATCACCAATTATGATTCCAATTTCACCCACTCAGCTCCATGGAGAAACACTCACACACACACATTTCAACAGCTCAGCCCCATGTCAGCAATACTGCCCCACCCCCCCCCCCCCCCCACCCCACACACACACACATACAATTTACCAGCTCAGCCCAATGTCAGCAACACTGACACAGACACACAAACACACACACTCAACATTCTCAGCACCATTGTATCCTCACCAAACTAACGCACAATTCATCCTCTCAGCCTCGTGTCACCAACATTGACAAACACACACACACTTCACCAGCTCAGCATCATGGTGTACTAACCAACACGTACACATACTAACATTACCAGCCAGAAGAGGTCAATTTTGAACTTGGAGATCACAGTCCACTCACTCGCTCTCAACTTTCGCTCATCTGTACAATATTTATTACCTCAAGCGTATATGTAATTGATTCCCAGGTTAATTGTGGACAAACTAGGTACAAACTATCGTGACGCAAATGAGACTATTTGAAAAATTGTTGGCCAGAAACCTGCAAAAACAGAATTATAAAATATTCGTCCAGCACAGAGGGAATCTCCGTTCAACCTTTCACCAGAAAGACACAGCCCCTGACAGTACAAACGAATTCCACTGGGAAAACATAATTCAATCCCGCTACAAAGGCAATATAATTACTGCTTATTATATTTACATTTGATAGATTGCTTTCAGGACTCCCAAAGCATTTCAATTAATTTATTGTGAAGTGTAGTGAAGGTGAATTTGTGGGAGAATGTAACAGCCAATTCATGCATTGCAGTATCCCACAAAGAGCCACAATACTATTTGACCTTTTGAGGGTAACGAAACCAGGAGAGAATCCATTTCTTTCGAATGGTGCCCTTTGATCTTTAATGTCCACCTGTACAATAAGGCAAGCTTACACCTCTGATAATGCAACACATACAAACATTGCATTGTTGTCTCGGCTTAGACTTTGTGAGTTCAGGTCCTGACTTGGGGTCGAACCCACAGCCTCCTGACATAGGGGAGAGAGTGCTACCGTTGTGCCAGGCTGTCACATGTTGCCCATTGCCCTGCGACGTGTAGATCGTGGTGAGCATTCTTTATTAACCTGCTCTCTTGAGCAGTAAGACAATTCAGCCCATCCACTGAGCTCTGAGCTCTTCGCTTCCGTTCCTTTGAACCTCAATACCCAGTGAAACGTTATCAAGGCCAACAGGCATTGTTGCCATTTATGGATATTTTCGGGCCATGCAATTGTGTGTTGGGATCTCGACTTCGGACCAGGTAGCTCATGCACGTTTCACTGAGTTTCTTAAAAGTCAGCAACATAAGAAGCAACTTGAAAAAAAAATTCTACTTGTGGGGAAAGAGAAGTATAATGGCGGCATTCGGGCGGGAAGATTAAGATTGAGCAATACATCTAATTTCCCATCGCATGAAAGATAGTGAGCAACATTCAAAAAGGTTCAGTTTCTCTACACCATCTCCAGAATCACATAAGACTGGAACTCCGAGATCGAGGGATGGTTGTAAACCAGCGTTACATAAACCAGAGAACTTCAGCTACAAAAAGAGACGTGTCAGAGAAGACGGCAAAACAATATAGTTGCTTCACGGGAACAGCATCACGAAACAATTCAAAAGCAGTGTGGTATCTGAGCTGAATTCATTTTTGAGCCTGGTGTCTGACACGCGTGAAAACCCATCAACATTCTGAGCAATAACCAAACCGAATTGACCTTTCCGTGCATCCCACCTAAACATGCGCACAGCAGTGACCCACAAACAGTCGTGGATTGAAAATGACGAATTTATTTTTTTTGTTTGGGAGGTATTACTATTAATAGGAAGAGTGTGGAGGAAGGGAACTTGCCCAAGATTTCGCCCTGCCAGGAATTCAACTCAGGTGTCTCACTTGCAAGGCGAGTGCTCTAACCACTGAGCTATAGGACTCCATTAACAACTGACCAACAATAATTTGCATTTATTGCCGCTGGTGTCGCAAACTATTCAAAAATGCAGCCACTTTACGACTGTATTTAACCACAGTCAGATTTATAATTTTTTTGTCACCAGTCCAATTTAGCGCACTAATGTCCTCTGTGCTCTATCTTTCTGTTCCTAGCCTTTGAACCTCATTTGTGCAATAGTCAGTGAAATGTTATCAAGGCTAACAAGCCCTTCATGGATATTTGCAGTTAATTTAACTATGTCTCTGGACTTCGGAACAGGAAGTCCATGAGATTTTATTGAGCTGCTTCAAAGTCAATAACACAAGAACCATCTTAACAAAAGCAATGTCTACTTGTGGAACAGAGAAACAAATTGGCGGCATTTGGTCGGGAAGATTAAGTCTGAGCATTAAATCTGAGGTCCCACAGCATAAAAGCTGGTGAGCAACATTCAGAAAAAGTAAGCTCCTCAACAACCTCTCCAGATGAAAACCAGACAGGAACCTCTCCAGATGAAAACCAGACAGGATAGGGATGAATTATGAACCAGGAATACATAAGCAAGGGAAATTCAGCCACACAAAAGACACATCAGAGAAGAAAAGAAAACAAAAGGAACATAAAAAATATAGTGTGGTTAAGGTGTGTAACACCTCGGAGAACTTATATAGCAGTGTGGTATTTGAGCTGAACTTTTTTGTTAAACCTAGTGTTTGACACGCGTGAAATCCCATCAAAATGCTG